TAAGCACGTTGAATTTTTAATGAAACGATATAGATTAATTTGGGGAAATGGTGACATTTGTAATGCGTTTTCATTATCTACATAGCATGTGTGTAATCGGGCATTTTATTTTATCTTTCATCCTGAAGTTGCCTCCTCTTTTGCTCACCCCCTGAATTTCACTTGTTTGCACAGTCCTGCTGTGTGTTCGTGTTATCGTGGTACTCCTACGCACTAGTGTGTGTGCGTTGATAACTGCTGTGGAAATGCCAGCTGAACTGTTTCTCCAAGTGGAGAATAACAACTCACTCTTCATCTTCAGTTCGTGAGAGTTTCATCCTCCCATGTCTTATCAATACTGTATGTCAGTCTAATGTGATTTTTCACAGGAAGCTCCCAAATTTCTGTACATTGCGCTGTGAAAAACGTGTTAACTTTCATGTTAACATCTTGTAACATTTTACTTAAATTAAAAGTTACCTATGTTATTATTAGTTAAATATTTTCTTTTGGAGAGATTGTATATTTTACAATACTGTCTAAAAAGTTTATGAGCATATATTGCATTAAAAAATATAGCTTCTAAAATACCACTGCTCTTGCTTTTCGTCTTAAACAGTATAATAAATGCTTAGTTGTGGTAATGTGATTTTTCTTCATTTGTAAAGATGTTGAGCTTTTGATGATTATTGAACATATGATCTCCTATGTAATGTGGCTGTTGGAATCTTCTTGCCTGTGTTTCTTCCCGAAGCCTCCAATGCCTGCCTTTTTTATTTAAAATATTTAGTTAGATGTGAGGCAAATAATTTCTGGCATTCTGTCATTTCACTTTGCATTCTGTAATGGGTTAAATTCATGAGTAAATTTTTATTTTAAGGTCTTTTTTGTGGTATTGGGGGTTGAATCCAGGGCCTTCACACTGAGCTACATTAATATTGAGACAGGGTCTTTCTAAGTCACCAAATGACTGGCTGGATTTGAAGTTTTGATCCTCTGGCTTCAGTCTCCCAAAGTGCTGGTGCTACCACACGTGGCTTCATGTCCAGTTTATGAATATTTTATTTTATGTTGTTTCATGTGATTTTGAGAGACATAATTTTCTTTCCTAAAGCAACTTTTGAAAGTCTTAGCGTTTACTTTTTTGGTGGTATTTTTGCATTTTGGTTGGGGGTTGATAACAGCGTCTTACTATGCAGTTCAGGCTTGCCTTGAAGTTGTTTATATATCCCAGGCTGGCCGCAAACTCACAGCAATCCTCCTTCCTCAGCATCCCAAATGCTGGAATTACAGGAATTACAGGCTGTGCCACCACGCCTGGCAGAGTTTGCTTTTATACTTACGTATTTCTGACCTCTGAAAATTATTTATTATGTCGTATGAGGAAAGGGTACAGTAGTATTTTTGCCACATAGATGCCCTGTTTTCCTTGCAGCTTTCATTCCAAAAGGAGTGTTTTCTTCTCTACAGTTCAGTCATGTTCGTATGTGTGTCTAAAAGGAAAGAGTCTCTTTATGTATTACAGTTTTTAGCTTAACTGATATGCTTATATCTTTACCAGATCAGCACTGATTTATAGTATATAGCTATGTGCTGCATAGTGATGTTTTGGTCAGTGTTGTATATTTTAACACACCAGTGGCTATAACATATAGCATGAGTGTGTAATAAACTGTGCTTTCTGGATTTGTGTAAATACATGGTGATGTTTGCATAGTGAAGGAATCATCTAGTACTGCCTTTCCCAAAATGTATCCCCATAGCTATGTGAGCCATTACTGTATACGTGGATATATATTTTTACAAGTATATAACAATATATAATTCTTTGTTATGAAAGTTCTCATAACTCTGAATTTTATTAGTATTTTTAAAAAAACCCAACATTTGACATTGGTGCTAGTCTGTATAGTCATTTTCAATAAAGTTAGGTGTTGCTCCTTCGTTTTTTTCTTCAGTTCTAATTTTTTATTAGTCCATGTTTGCCTTACTTACTGATTACATTCCTTTAGGGGAGTGGTATGTGTACATATGTTATGATTGATACATTATGTCAACTTCAGTCCAGGGGCTTGGCTAAGTGACTCAGCAGTTCTACATCCTGGGGTGAAAAGGCCTTGCCCATACAACCCTGGGATGTTGTTGATTGTGTCAATGTGAGAAGGTTAGAAGGCTAAAAAACTAAGTGACTTACTTAGCATGGGTCCAGCATCCTTGCTCTCTATTCATACTGAGCCTGTGCAAGAGGAGGGTGAAGAGATGATGTGGGCCTGGGTGGAAAGCCAGTATACAATATAAGGAGGGAAGAGGGGCTGCCCCCCTGCCTTTTGCTCTTGTTGCTTTTGCATTTCCTGCTACCATGAACTGGTTGCCCTCTGCCATGTGCCACTCTGCCTTGGAGCCAGCTGAGTATGGACTGAAACCTCTACAGACTGTGAGCTGAATAAACCTTTCCTTCCTTAATTCTGGGCATCAGGTAATTTGTCTCAACAATGAGAGAAAAGTAACTAAGACAGAATTTGGTAGCAAAGAAGTGGAGTCATTGGTGTGACTGTACTTAACCATGTGGTT